GTGTTGACTATTCTCATATTTTTTGTCATCTTTTCTTTTTTTAATTTAATCTTTACTGTATTTTTTTCCGTTACTATTTAGTCCCCTTATACCTCCCACCCTAATTTCCAGACTTTTAAATTAATTTCTTGTTATTCTGCCTGTGATCATAAAATATCTATATATTTATATTTTTGGATGTTCTTAAGGTTTTCAATTTTCATGAATGTTCTATCAGCTCTTGAAAAGAAAGAACATTATCTATTATTAGCATAGAGACTTTCATATATTGTAGTACCTTACTGATTATTTTACTTAGGTCTTCTGAATTCATATTTATGTTTGATCTACTTAATGTTTCCTGGGCTAAGAGGTGAATTAAAATCTCTTATTAGTGTGTTTCAATCTATTTATCTTAATATCCCTGTGATTTCTTCTTCCTGAAAATTGCTGCCTTGTTATTTGGTGCCTTGCAAATTACACCATTTAGCATTATAAATGGCCCTTCTTTGGCTCACTCAGTGCTGTTTGGCTTAAATTCTCATTGTCTGATGTTAAGACTATGGTCCCAGCCTGGTTTTGTTTGTATTTGTCTTTATACCTTTGCTCATTCACTTCCTTTTAACCATTCTCAATCACTTCGTTTGACATATGTCTCTGGAATGCAGGATGGAGCTGGGTTTTGCTTGAGCTCTAAACTAAAAATCTATTTTTTTTAAAGATCAGTGAGTTAAACCTGTTTATTGATTCACATGACAGGTGTCTTTGGTCTTCTTTCTGTCATTGTGTATATACAGACACATAAATATGTCTTTGTGCATGTGGGAAGGCTATATTCTTGATTCTTTCACTGTGATCAGTTTTCTTTTCAAAAATACTGTAGCCCTCCTGCCGATTTATGAATCTTGTATTTTTGTTCTAGTGGTTACATTTATATTTATGTCTCTATGTAATAGTCCTAGTTACGGTACCCATTGTTTCTCTTCTATGGACAATAAGTTTAACTTCCTCCCCCTCCTTTTCTTCCTCCCCCTCCCCTCTCTCTGGTCACGACCGAACACATTTTGGCTGATACTGTATCGAGTGATTCTAAGGTGTTTTATTCATTGTCATGCCTCTGGAAGCTCCTGGTCCGGTAGTGGTCATGACAGTTGCCATTGCTTACCTATGTGATGGCATGAAAACCTGAAGAGGAGGTGGCGACAGCTTGAAAGAAAATTCTGGAGACTGTCGTGAAGGACTCTTAAGAAAAGCTACACCACCCACACGGGACGGTGCAGGAGATGCTCCTGCGGGGGACGCGGGCACCAGTGACGCTGAGTTGAAGTCATTCAAAATCTGCTTTTTTGTTTGTTTGTTTGTTTGTTTGTTTGTTTACTCCTCACCTGAGGATATGTTTTTACTGATTGAGAGAGAGAGGGAGAGAGAAAGAAACGTCAATGCGGGAGAGGAGAATCAATCGGTTGCCTCCTGTCCCACCTGACCGGGGTTGATGGGAGACCGAACTGGCAACCTTTGGGGCCCAGGAGGCCACTGCGGCCAAATGAGCAACTTGGCCAGGGCAGAAGCATTGGCTTTTCATGGTAACAGCGTTTCAGGAACGCCTCACCCAGTTTATTTCACCTAACTTCTTAGGTCTGCGCGGAAGTGATGGGTGATTTATAAAATCTAACTAAACTAGTGACTCTATAGAATAAGAAAGAAATGGGACATTGTTTAATTGGCAACGTTGTTTTATTTTTAGTGGCGTATGACAATGATGCAGCTATATAACAATTCCTCTTATTCGATTCAACAAAATAAGGTTGTGTTTTCCTTCTTTTTGGTCACCGGTGTACTTTAAATAGGCTGAATCTTTTAGCAATTAAAGGTGAGGCAACCACTAAGCTGAGTCCACTTGCCTCCTTTTTCCCCCTTCCCTGCCATCTTTTTTCTCATTTTAACCTCTTTTGTTTCTTACTATATTCTGTATGGAGTCCATTCTCTCACATTTTTTTGTAGTTTGGTCTTCACTTCTGAAACAGTGTCATCTTTTTCTCTTAGGTCTTCCCTGACCTCTGTCAGCTCTCACACGTTGTCCTTACGTCTGGCCATCACTTTGTCGTTTGTCTCCGGTTCTCGTAAAGCAAAAGGTCTTCAGGTTGAAATTGCTTTTTAAAGTTTTTTTTAAAACTTCATGCGGTAATTACAGTTTTGAGTGTTTTACTTTATTTTTTATATTTTATTTTGTCTTGATTTTAGAGAGAAGGGAAGGGAGGGAGCAGGAGAGGGCGGGAAACACTGATGTGAGAAAGAAACATCTATTGGTTGCCTTCCCTATGTGCCATCTGAACCCGCATCGCAGGCGCGTGCCCTGCCTGGGAATCAAACGGGTGACCTTGCGCTTATTGGGACGACCCCCAATCGACTGAGCCACACCAGCCGGGACTGGATTTGAATTTTTATTTGTTGTGTGCCGGTATCTGTATAGTGAAGTTTCTTTATACATAAGATAACGTTGGTGTCCCTTTTCCTTTTTCATTCGTGCAGCATCGTTGGATGGGTGCTATGTTTATTCCTTTAACAATTTTTTTGAATCGGTTGGGTTTTCCGGCATCAGCCATTAACAGGGAGTTTTGGTGCAAACTAGGAGAGAGACCAGGGCGGTTCTCTAGGCTTCTCTGTTGAAAGGCCCCCACTCTCTGTTCTTCGGGGAGCGCGCTGTTCCTTTGAAGCCTGGCCCTCGTCAGGATCCGCTCCTCTTCGGCCCCCAGGGCTCAGCCTGGGTCCAGGGGCAGCCTGCTCCAGCTGCGAGCCCCGCCCTGAGGTCGCATCTCCCCCGCAGAGGACAGGGAGGGTGGCTCAGGGAACCCGCCAGAGGCCCAGGTTCCTGTGCAGGTTCCACCCTCCACTGTTGTGGGACCTGGGCTGAGTCCCTTTCCTTCTCTGGGCCTCTGTGTCCCTGTTTGAATATCGGAATTTCCAAAGGCCCAGCTCTGCCATTCTGGGAGCTGCTCGGTCAGCACCCAGCCTGGCAGCGGGGCCAGTAGGGACCGGGTCTGACCATCGCTGCCACTCTGTTCAGTTTGGGTCACGGACAGCCGGGGCCGGGCTGGACACGGAAGCCCAGAGAGGATCAGAGGCGGAGGGTCCCGCTGCAGGGGCAGAGGTGGGTGTGGGCCGCGAAGAGGTGACAAGCCCCAGGCTGGGGAGCCTTTTCCAGGCCCTTGAACCTGGCCCCCCATCGGCCCCAGCCCTCCCTCTCCACCTGCCTCACTTCTCACTCTCGCTGCCCACCTGAGGGAGGTCCTGGGGCCTCATGACGACAGTGGGGGCCCCAGAAGGGCTTACAGCCGGGCGTCACCATAGTTAACACAGCGCTAACTGGAAATACCTCCCCGGGGCAGGCCCGGAAGGCAGTGGCTGTGAGGTGGGAGGAGGAGGCGGTGGCAGCGATGTGCCAGGCTTGTCTGACACAGGCCAGGACCTGGGCCCCCACCGCCAGGCGCACCCAGAGGGCTGGGAGCTGCTTTGGGCCTGAGGTCACGCGGGTGTTGGGCTGTGGCCATCTTGGCCCGTACACAGTTTCTATTCCTGGGTCTTGGGCTCCGGCACCAAATACGGTGCTTGCTTGCGCCTGGCACCTTCATCTGTGGCAGGCATGGTTCAAGAGGCACACCCTGCGTCCCCAACAGGCCCAGACCATGCCCCACACCGTGGCAGAGCCAGGTCACCCCAGGGCCACTGGGCCCCCAAGCAGCCAGTGCCGCGTTCCATCCAACTGTCTGTCCATCCGCCCCTCAGTACGGTTCACACGGGGTTAAGAGTCCTCAGGACCAGAATAGCCTCTTTCCCTGCAGGGAAACCTGGCGGGGAACACAGCGTTCTTGATTTACATCAGGGCCCTTGCGTTCAGGACCCAGTGGGGGTGGGTCCAGGCAGCGCACCCAACCTCTGACCCCCAGTGTCCTTACTCATGCTCACCGGTCCCTTTAGTCACTCACTGATTTGCTAACTCAGTGGCTCACTCACTGATCATTCATTGATTCACTTGCTCGTTGATTGCTCCACCCACTCACTGTCTCCTCATCTACACACAAAGTCACGCACTCAGTATTTACTGACCACATCCTAATGGCCAGACACTGCTCTGGATGCTGAACAAAACATAAAAGTGCACGGGTCCCCATGGGGTTATGTTTCAAATAAATAACTAACCCAAACAAGTACAAAAATGTACAGTATGTTGGAAGTATGGGAGAGAACAGACTGAAACAGGAAGCTAAGAAATAATGGGGGAGTTGAAATATTAGGGGCGAAAGGGAGGGCCCAATGGGAGGAGGATTTTTTGAGTGAGGGCCAGAGGAAGGTGAGGGAACAAGCAAAGGGAACAGTGTTCCAAGCAGAAGGAACAGCAGGTGCGAAGGCCCTAAGACGGCCGCTTGGGGGATGGGTTTGAGAAGAGTGAGAAGGTGAGGGGTGGCTGGGGTGGAGCAGATGATGGGGAGAGAAGTGGGGCCTGAGGTCAGGGGCTGGGGGACGTGCGGCACCTGGCAGACGTCTCACGTCGCTCTGGGCCTGAGCAGAGGGGCGACTGGCCCGTCATGTGTCTTCCGTGGCCCCCTGGCTACCGAGCGAGCGAGTCAGCACGTGAGCGAATGAATGACACAGAGTGGTTTTCCTGTGTGATGACTGTGTGCCAGGCCTTGAGCCAGGCACCGGGAGAGAGGTGTGCAGGCCCCGATGGCACTTACGGAGGTCTGTCTGGTCAACCTCCTCATCAATTGTCACCTTCCCGGGAAGGTGACACATTCTCCGGGCTCTGCTGGACAATTTGCTCCATTTCAGCCGTCACCGAGTGTATTGTCCTTGTTTCTTCAAATGGTCTCCCCATAGGCCGGCCGCTTCCCCAGGGCAGGCCTGCGCCTGGCTGTCCCCTTCTCCCCGTGCGGCCGAGAGGGCGCGAACCACCGTCCGAGGAGCCCCAGCCCTCGGGGGACCTGCGGTCCACCTCACTGGGTCTCTCACCATCTTTTGCAGATGGATTTGCGGGCACGGAGAGCGTGTGGACGAGCCGTGTTCCTGTTGGCAGAGGAGGCTGGCCGCTGAGCCAGGGCGTGACTCCAGGAAGCCTGCCAGGCTGCCCAGATCGCCGCTCATCGCCATGGGGCGCCCGGGCTGGTCAGTTCCCACCCTTGACATCCTCGCGGTTCCCTGGTCTTGGCTCCGGGGGAGGGCAGGGCCCAGTTGCTCAAGTCCCAGGCTCTCGGCACCACTCCGGCCATGAGCCCCACCTGTCCTGGGAGCGGTTGCTCTTAGCTCCCCGCGGCCCCCAGACTGTGTCCAGTGCCTCTGCCCAAGCTTCCTGGCCTCTAGTGTAGAAGTGACACAACTTCCCCCCTGGGATTACTGAGGGCCAGAGTGGGTGTGGATTTGGCATCGTGTACTCAGAAGGCACGGAACATACGGTGGCTGGAATTCTATTGAGAATGAGCAGAGCCCAGGCCAGTGAGCACTGGCCCCCACAAGCACAGGTGCGTGTGCACATGGGCTGCCCTCTCTCCCTCCCAGGCAGGATGGTACAGTGGGGAGAGCACAGACTCTGGAACCAGGTGGCCCGGGTTCAAATCCTTGCCCTGCCACTCGCTGAGTGTGGGACTCCGTGTGAGTTACCAGACTTCTCTGCCTCAGTTTCCTCACTTGTAAAATGGGAGTGATGACCCCATAAGGTAGCGTAAGGGTTCAATGAGTGAAGGTGTGTTAGGCGCTGAGAAGGTCGCCTGGCTTGTGCAGAACAGGCGGTCAGTGCATATGGAGTGAGTGAAGGAATACGGCCAACCGGTGGGTTCGAGTGTCCCTGTCTTGCAGGTGGGGATGTGGAGGCTCAGAGGGCTGAGCGAGTGACTTGCCCCAGGTCCCGCAGCTGTATCTCAGGCATTCACACAGCCCCCCCTTGGGGATGAGGCCCAAGCCTATCTTGTTCCTCCCTGCCTCATGCAGGGCACCAGGAATGCTTCCGGCTGCTGGCTGGGTGGCCACCACCAGCGGAGGGTGAGGGTCCGAGGGCGGCGGTACTAGCGAAGGTCAGGGACTACAGCACAGCTTCCCCTTCCCTCCCCTTTCCAGGCCCGTGTCTAGGAAGAGCACAGCCCAGGGCAGGGGCTGGGGAAGCCAGGGGCCCAGGAGGCCCCAGCGTGTCTGAGCCAAGGGCTTCGGAGCCTGGCAACCACCCGCACGTGCCCAGAGCTCACCCTTCCTGCCCTTGAGGGCGCTTGCGTGCCACGGCCCCGGGCGTGGCTCCCGCTGCAGGTCCCCGAGGCGACTCGGCAGTCTGCCCTCTTGGACCAGCTCGAGGCCTGGTTTGTGGAGCTGAGGGACACATGCACTGGGCCTGCCATCGCAGGCGGCCAACCTGGCCTGCTGAGGGGCACAGGCGTGACCGGGCAGCCAGGCCTGTGAGCCCCGTGGCGAAAGCATTACTCTTGACAGGCCCTACCCTGGGACCCTGATGGCCACAGCTTATAGGTGTTGCTGGCTCAGGCCGTGGGGTCTCAGTCCACGCCCCCTGCTCCCACTTTCCAGGTGAGGAGGGAGGTGGGCGCAGTGCGGCCGGCAGGCCCGTGGCTGTGGCTGCGTGTGTAGGAAGTGTTTTCTTGGGCCAGGGTGCCAGCAGCCCTGTGGTGCTCGAATGTGGTGCTCATGTCTTGCAGACCAGCCAGTTCCTGCTGGAGGCTCCTGGTGTCACCGGGGAGACCATGTTCAGACCCTCGGACTGTCTGCTGTGGCTGCTCCGGGGCACCCCGAGCCAGCGGGGCTGTACTCTGTTCATCATCGGCTTCAAGTTCATGTTTTTGGTCTCCATCATGATCTACTGGCACATTGTGGGGGAGCCCAGGAGCCAAGGACAATACTCTAACCTGCCTGTCGACGTCCCTTGCCCCCATCTGGTGCCCCCCACCCGCTCCCCCAGCGCCCCACCACCAGGCAGAATCTTCTTCCTGGAGACCTCAGACCGGACCAACCCCAACTTCCTGTTCATGTGCTCGGTGGAGTCGGCCGCCAGGGCCCATCCCGAGTCCCAGGTCATGGTCCTGATGAAGGGGCTGCCCGGTGGCAACGCCTCCAGGCCCCGGCACCTGGGCCTCTCGCTCCTGGGCTGCTTCCCCAACGTGCGGATGCTCCCGCTGGACCTCGAGGAGCTGTTCCGGGACACGCCTCTGGCGGCCTGGTACGCGGCCTCGCAGCGGCGGTGGGAGCCCTACCTGCTCCCCGTGCTCTCCGACGCCTCCCGGCTGGCGCTCATGTGGAAGTTCGGGGGCATCTACCTGGACACGGACTTCATCGTCCTCAAGAATCTGAGGAACCTGACCAACACGCTGGGCACCCAGTCCCGGTACGTGCTCAACGGCGCCTTCCTGTCCTTTGAGCGCTCCCACGAGTTCCTGGCGCTGTGCATGAGTGACTTTGTGGCCCACTACAACGGCTGGATCTGGGGCCACCAGGGCCCTCAGCTGCTCACACGCATCTTCAAGAAGTGGTGCTCCATCCGCAGCCTGAGCGAGAGCCACGCCTGCCGTGGCATCACGGTCCTGCCCTGTGAGGCCTTCTACCCCATCCCCTGGCAGAACTGGAAGAAGTACTTCGAGGATGTCAGCCCTGAGGAGCTGCCCCGGCTGTTCAACGGCACCTACGCTGTCCACGTGTGGAACAAGAAGAGCCAGGGCACACGCCTCGAGGCCACATCCAGGGCGCTGCTGGCCCAGCTCCACGCCCGCTACTGCCCCACAACGCACAAGGCCATGACGATGTACTTGTGAGGGGCCTGCTAGCACCCAGCATCCGGTGGGAGAAGGGCGCCCAGCCGCCCTTCCTGGGGAGGCGAGATGAGGGGTGGGGAGCAGGGGACAGGTTTTCTGAGAGGTGTTATTGGACGGGCTGCTGCGACCCTGGGCTTTGCTGCCTTCGAGCCGGGGTGAGGCTGGCGGGACACCCTGTCGGCCAGTGTGCTGTCTGAGGGCAGAGGCCTCGAGTGGTGGGGGAAGGGCCCCCAGCCAGAATCAGCTGGAATGAGCCAGGGGGTGGGGCAGGGAGCACCCTGGGTTTGCTGGACAACACGTGGAAGCTGTGAACATCAAAGCGCCTTCCAGGCATCACAGGGAAGCCAGGCGTTTTGGGGCCCAGGTGGCCAAGGTAAGGGGAGGGCAAGGCGAGGCCCCAGCTGCGGGACGAGGAGGCCACTAGGGGAGAGCAGTGAGCAGGCCCAGCCTCGTGGGCCTGGGGTGGCGCTTGGCTCTTTCCTGGTTTGGGTTTTTCTTGGGCTGAAGCGGCTGCCACAGCTCACCTGGGGAGCTTTGGAGGGAGGTCCTGCGTGCCCGCCCTGTCCTTCTTTCCACAGATGTTGCAAGGGTGACAGCTGCCCACTCTGGGGGCATGGGGGTGTGGGGTGTTTTTGGCTTGGGAAAGGCCCTTTAAAGAAAACATTCCCACCCTGCTGATAATAAACAGAGGAAAATAATAAACATAACAAAGCGACTCACGGATGTCTAGTGCTTTGCGGTTGATAAAGCGCACTCGCTCACAAGGCACTTCCAGCTCTGTTCTGCTGGTGGGAAGCGCTGCGGGGGCTGGAGGTGACTTGCCTGAAATCGGGCCTAGACCAGAAGGTCTGGGTCAGAGGAAGGTCAGCGCCTGGAAGGGTGAGGCCCCCACCTGGTCGGTGCTGAGGAAGTTGCCTCAGAGCCGGACGGTCCCGCAAAATGCCTCCCCGGCAGGACTGGGGGCGCTGCCAGGAACTCTGGGGCTCTGCGTGCTGCTCTTTGTCTAGAGGCCTCTGGATTCTGCCGGCAGACGGTTGTGGGCAGCCTGGTAAGGTAGTGAGCTCCCTGGCTCCAGGGGTATTCAAAAGCAGGTGGTGTTTTTTATGCAGACAGTGGACTGCATGTCATTTATTTCTCTAACCACAACATTTCACCTGTCTTGATTTTTTTAGAATAAGCAGATTTTACTTCAATATACAAATAATATATATAACCATATGTATATATACTTAAACAAGTGAAATGACCTCTTAAGTCAAGCATTGTTTAATTAGTCATTTGGCCATCATATAGTGTGTGTCTACTATATGTCACCATAGAGAAATGAAACAGACAGTGTCCCTCCCTCACCCTAAACTCTTCTATGGCTGCCTATTGCTAGGGCACAAAGCCTACCTCCTGGGTTCAGCATTCAAGGCCCTCAGGGATCTGGCCGTGCCTGCCTCTCCAGCCTTGAACTTTGCCCTCAATCCACACTAAATTGTATATTCCTTTTTTTTTTTTTAAGATTTTATTTTTTTAGGGAGGGAGAAAGAGAGGAAGAGAAACATCAATGTGTGAGAGATACATTGATGGATCAGTTGCCTCTCACACGCCCCCAGCTGGGGACCTGGCCTGCAACCCAGGCATGTTCTCTGACTGGGAATTGAACTGGGGACTTTTGGTTCACAGGCTGGTGCTCAGTCACTGAACTACACGAGCCAGGACCTAAACTGTATATTCCTGACTCCCTTCCCTGCCCTAATGTCCACATATTGATACTCTATGCCTTTGCTTCTACAGTCAGTGTTCTTCCCAACTGTCTTCACCAGCAAACCCTTGTTCCTTCCCATAAGGCCTCCCCCTCCAGGAAGCCTTCCCTGATTGCCCCACCTCCAGCCCCACAGCTCCCAGGCATCCTCCATGACTGCTGGGTTCTTGGCCCGTCCCTCCAAACATCTCGAAGGGCAGAGCTGTGTCAAGACCCTCTCAGGGTCATTTCTGGGGTTGGGCTCAGACTCCCAGTGGGAGGCGCCCATGTAGCTCTGTTGAGGACCTCAAGAAGTTCCTGTCCATGTAGAGCCGAAGGCCCTCTGCCACCCCGACACCTAACTCATAGAGGGTCAGGTCATGCCAGGCCAGAACAACTGCAGCCAGACTGCAGGAGAGCGGGCTTCCAGAATGTTTACAGGCCTCCGCAGAGAACCATGTTTTGGAAACACAGTCCAAGAGGCAGCTTTGGCCTCGGCCTCCTCACGTCATGCCTGGCAGGGCCAAGAGCGGGAGAACTCTCAGATGTTCCTGGCACCCTTCTCTCTGAGAAAGTGGGCATCGCGGGGACAGGGTGGGGCACAGAGGACCCTCCATGCATCAGCTTGGACCGTGGGCGGTGGGTTGTGGGAAGGGGGCTGGACTTTGCTGAGCCAGCCTCTCAATGCAGCAGCTGTAAACCAGAGGGGATGAGCTGGCCAGAAACAACAGCAGCTCCTGGAGGGTGCGTGTGGGCGGGGCGGAGGCAACAGGAGAAAGGCTGATGCAGACAGGTGACCTCACCAAGCAGCCTCGAGGACCCCGCCTCCACCGGCGCCGGGGCTTGTTCTTACCCTCCTCTCTGCCCCATTGGAGCAACTGTCCTAATGCCCAGGGCAGGGACGGGGAGCCGAACACCCCCTTTCCCTGCCTCCTGGTGGCCAAGCCCCAGCCAGAGCGCTGCCTGCTGCCTCTTGCAAACGGGATGGATGGTTTCTACCTCCTAGCCTGGTCGTGTGGGCCAAATGAGCCAGCACGGTGCCCGGCGCGGAGCACATTGTTACAGCACGCCTCGGCTTTCTGCATGGGGAAACCGTGGCTCGGCAAGCAGGGGGCAGTACTGGGATTTGAACCCAGGCCTTGGCTATCCTGGGGACAAAGCTCAGAGCAGGAAGAAGGCTGGCTGGAGGAGCTGGACACGGCTTCCCCTCACCTCCCTGTGCACCCACAGACAGAGCACAGAGCGCTCCTTGGGCCCCCTCTGCTTGACCCCCCTTCCAGAGAGACCCTGCGCTTTGCTCTGTCCCATCCCGAACTCAGTGTCCTGCTCCCTGGTGGCCTCAGGCTGCCCCTCCTTGACATAGGAGGTGGAACTGAGTTCTCAGAAAGGAGAGGAAAAGGGAGGGGCAGACTTTGATGGAAGCCTGCCTGGGGACAGTAATCAGATCCTAGGAACCCTGCCTGAGGTTGCTTGCTGGCAGGTGTTTCTGTCCGGGAGTTGGGGGAGAAGATGAGGACCCAGCCCCTCGCCGGGGGGCAGTGAGTGGCCCGGCAGGGGCCCCGGCCCAGCTTGCAGTCGGTTATTTAACGAGCCTTCCCTGCTTGGCCCAGCGCAGGCTCTGGGGTAAGAGGATAATTCCGCTTGCTGCCACATCAATATTCAACTTCTTGTTTAAATATTAAATGGAATGTCCTCCATCTGAGTGCCCACAGAAACCTGGGATGAGTGATTGACCTCGGGCTGCGGTCCTGAAAGTCAGGTTTCACGGCTCGCTTGTTCCTAAATCTCTGCTTGTCCTAATGTGGGCTGGCCTGGTCAAGGCATGCTGGGAATCCTGCTGTGAGGTTGGGGGTCAGGACCGGACACAGCTTTGGGACCTAACAACTGGCTGAGGAATCAGGTTTGATCTGGGCTTCGGCAGGGTAGAGGGACATCCACTCCCTGGGCAGGGACAGCCGCGGGAAGGAACCAAGTTAGTGGGCGAGACTGCACCTGGGTGGGGGTGGGAGGGGCGCCCCCAAGCGGGAAGACGTTCCTCACAGCCATCGTGCACCGCCAAGAAACATCAGAGCCCAGTTTCAGTCCCCACCAGCTTGCGAGGAGAGAAGACCAGGGAAGAGGCCTCCAGCCGCCAGAAGACTCAGGGCATGATTATCCCCCGTGAGGTACTGGCGAGGGCATGGGGAAGCTGCTCTACGGACAGACTCCAAATGGAGCCCCTTAAAGGAGGTAGGAGATTGTTTGTCTCTCACCTCACAGCCCCGAGGTGTTCTCCGAGACCCATGAGACCACTCTGCCATCCCCAAGAGAGAGCTTCCAGCTGCTGCATTTTCCAGGTCATGGGAAGGCGGGGAGAGTGTTCAAGGCAAATGTCTTTAGGAAGATAAACCCTGAAGTTGCAGGCCTCGCTGACGTGCACATCCCATTGGTCTGGACTTAGTCACATGGCCCCACCCAGCTGCCAAGGATGATAGGGAGTATAGTGTGCATCAGGGGGCCAAATATCCAGCTAAAACTCAGTATGTTCTATTACTAAGTGGATGACAAGAAGAATGGATACTAGAGGATGGTTAAGAGAGTCTGCCACCAGGAACAAGGAATCTGGGGAGAGGGTGCCTCCAACATAGGTTAAATCAGCAGCTTATCAACATCTTTGTATCTTCAAGGATCCTGTGTGTTGACTTTGGTCTCAGGCTTATTTCCTCCTGACCTCAAAATGGCTGTCGCTGCCCCAAGCATCACAGCCTTACGCGCTGATGCAAAAAGACAGAAAAGAGACTGTCCCTCTTTTGTGTCTACGAAAACTTTCTCAAAAGCCCCCTTGTCCACCTGACTTCCCCTGTCACTGGCCCATTCGTACTCCAATGACTAGCAAAGGGAATGGAACAGCCAGGGCTGGTTTATACCAGTTGATATTGGCATAAGATTCAGGGGGTGGGAAGGGCCTCACTCTCTCTATAGCACAAGGTCAACTGAGGGCTGAAGAAAATCAGGTTTCCTCTACCAAAAAAGGAGGAGGATCGGAATGACTGTGGGTAAAAAGCCTCTATGGGAACTGGCACTTCCTGCCCACCTGCACAGCCCCAAGCCCAGCAGGAGACTCTTTCCTGCACATGCTTTTGTTCAGCTCACGCTTGTGAAGAGGACACCACCTGCACTTTACCTAGAAGAAACCTGAGGCTCAGAGAGGTTAGGGGCCTTGCCTAAGGCTACACAGCCAGTGCAGGTGTGCTGAACTCTAAGGACAGGCTCAGAGAGGTTAGGGGCCTTG